CGGAGAGCCCGGTGTCGATCTCTGATTAGCTACTCCGAAATCGAATGATCGAGTCGTGTTGTTATAGGTCTCGAGTCGACTGTGCTTGCCGACGATGGATCGGAGCATACTCGTTTATTTATTTATTTAGCGACACATTGTAACGAACTTTCGCTGAGAGCGGACAGAAATCTTAACTAGCGAGCGGAACGTTCGCTGAACCTCGCGCGAAATATTAAGATAACATAAATACAATATGTTAAATTAACGCATGGGTGTATTAAAAATGTAATACACACAAATTTTTAACAAGGACTTTTTAATACATGTACAAAATTAATAACATATATTACTACGGAGCATATATTACTACGTTCTCCTCAAGTAATTTTGCGTGAATTTTTTACACGATACTTATTATTGCTATTCAACATGCGTTAAATTGATGCGAAAACTAGTATAGACCGTTTTTGGGGTGAAACGCGTGAGAACGCGTTAAATTCAACGCGAAATTTCTTACCGCGCCGGATGAGGTTCGAACGCACGCGGCGCAGCCGATTACGGATTTTCTCGCCGGAAAAATGCCCCGATACTGCAAACTACGGTATCCCTTTATCGTCTTACAGAACGGAACAGTCGCAGTTGCATCTGCAACCGGTCGTAAGAAAGCTGCCAGCTGCGACGCACGTGCTCTGTACTGCGCGCGGCGGCGGCGCGACAGCGGCGGCGGTTGCGGCGGACGAGCGGACTTATTTCACTATTTTATTAGAGTAAATATTCACGGCGCGGTGTGGCCGTGATAGTAACAACGGAAAGCCGTAGAAAAACGTGAAATACGGAGACAGGGCTCTCCGCGCCGTAACCGGCGTTGCTACGGCGGCTGCGCCATCCGTGGAAGGAATAGAGGTCATTTCTGCATCTTTAATGCGCCGTACAAAAGCTGTGCATGAATAAATTGAACGTCGCCACGCCTCAACCACAGCAACGTGGCGGTGGCTCTTTTACTTCGGTCGCGTTTCCCTCTCACGGCCAGCGCGACGGCCCGCATGCTCGTCGATCCGCGCGCTCTTTATCCGCCGGGGAATTCCTATTTCGCGCGATAAAAATATGTCGATACATGTCGCACACACACACACGTTTTTGTCTGCCGGCGCTGTCGACGTTTCGCTCCTCTCTCTTCGCGGCTGGAGGTAAATTAGCGAAATTCTGCGATATCCGACGCTTTGTTCGAGACACGTCTGATCAACTTTTCGCGCGAGTCTTATTGCTACTCGTGTTTCCATCTGTCGCTCCCTCGTCCTCTCGGAAAATTGACGAGACGAAGAATTCATTCGTCCCTGAGAAATTAGCGAGCCGGCAAACGTCGATTCAGCGTTGCCAGTTTAGCGTAGGAGCTACCCGCAGTATGTGTCACATGCTCCTCGATTATACATTTATTACGGCTGGAGATGAAAGTGGATCAGATCTGATGGTGATTTAATCAGCGAATTGCCCGATAATTTTGGAAAGCTGATAAAATGGAGAATCAAATGGAGTAATTTGGAGAAAAATCGCGAAGATAGAGAAAATTTTGCTATGAAGCTCGAAAGAAGCATTTAATCTCCTGAGACGCTTTATTTAACTCGTATTTTCCATTAAATATTTTGATACTGTACATTGATATATTGTACATATCATACGTACTGTTAGAAAAAAGTTCTTGAAAGTAATAACGTTTCCGATGGTAAATTTAAAATGTTTTATATTTGTTATGAAATTAAAAACTAAAATTTGTTATAAAATTTAATTTATTTCTTCGCCTCATATTACATAATTTGCTAGTTTTCATATTCAATTATGACGAATTATAATACGTTACGGTATATCAGAGTTCTTTAGTATTTAATAATGTACAGTATGATTGTTTACACATACAGGATACAGAATTTGACAACGATAAACCGTTAGTTGTGAATATTAATGAATATTAGTGAAATACATAAGTTGCGATATATTCCACTAATATTCACTCACTAAATTTCATACTCTAGATTGTTACAACACCATTATGAAGTGTGAATTGAAGATAAATCTATTCATAATTACGCGTCATTTAATATAATATCAGTTTGGTTATTAATTTTCATAACTTGGTTATGCAAAACTTGCTTCACGAGCAAATTATTAAATTTAATATTTCCCTAACAACGTCTAGTAATTGGAGAACTACATAGTATCTGAAAAAAGAACTTAAAAAAAAATTATTTTAGCGCGGATAAAGCGGCGTTCACAGTGAAAATTTCAGTTGTAAGACGTAAACTTTAAGCCTCAACCGGCAAAAAATCGACCAATCGGACTATTTTTCTCACGAAAAACCCTCGTTCTACTCCGCGGAGCCAAAATCGGCCTATTTTACCCATTACGTCCTTCACGTCTCTAATTACGGCCCAAAATCGGAGTTATTTGTCGGAAATGTGAGAATGAGACGTCGCGATCTCAGTAATGAGCTTTATTCCGGCGCGGCGGGACAGGTGATACCGCAAAAAATATGACGCTTACGTCGAGACTTTTTTATGATTTAACGAACGGCCTTGCCCTGATGAAGTGAAATATCACGCCGCTAATAACCTTTAATGAATGAAAACGAATGGCAGACGCACATGTAATGCTTCACGGTTGACGCGCATTTGCCGTGTGATAACGCCCCGGAGATTTCGTTACGTATGGTGCGTGCGTGCGTGCGCGAGTGTTCGCTCGCTCGCGTGTGTGCGCGCGCGCGCGCGCGGGTGGACGTTTGTATTGCAGTAACAAAGTAACAAATGTTTCAATGAAAATTGACGTTCGTTATTCGGCTTAATGTTTCTACGCACGTGACGATACACCATGCACCGTATCGCGCGTGAGTTCCGCGCGAGCGAGCGGTCATTTTTTTTTCTCTCGTGCCGCGTGATTTAACTCGCTGCTGCGATTTATTTAAAGGCGGGGGGGATTAATCTCCTCCTGAATTTTCAACACACCTACAATCCACCGCCGATTCGTTTCGTTTTGCCGTGGGAATGGAAAAGCGATTCGCGAGAGAGAGAGAGAGAGAGAGAGAGAGAGAGAGAGAGAGAAGGGGAGACTCGCGAAAAATTAGAAAAAACAGAGACAGAAGACGTTTATGCAAAAATCTCTTGCAGTTTCGGCGGTAACTCGCGCTAATTCTCTGCATGTTATTCGCGACGAAAGTTCGACACGAAATTTCCTTTCCTCGCGCTCATTATTTCGATCGATCGCCTCGAAAGCGCAAGGGAGTGGAGCCACGCGAGCAATAAGATTCACCGAGCAAGGGAATAATCACGAAGCGGATATATGCTGCTTTATTTAGCGATAGTTAAGATAATCGCGACGGTCCGCATTAGTCGTCATCGTGGAGCAAACATCTTATTAGGAGATTCGTCCCGGCACGCTACGCTTCCGACCCGAATTTAATGGCGGCGGAACGAAATAGCTTCTCAGGCCATTTCGCCGAGGCCTCGTTATCTTGTTAACGATCGGAGCACGCCTATTCGTCTATTTTGAGCTTCGTCAAGACGGCTATATTCTATCACGAGAGGGAGGCATGACTAAGATGTTTAGCGGTAGGAATACGCTCGTTACTGGAACACGTTTCAGTTAAGAGAATCGTGAGAGAGAGAGAGAGAGAGAGAAAGAGAGAGAGAGAGGCGATCGATATCCCAAGCGTTTAATCGCTTGAAAAAGAGAATCGTGTAAATAAACCTGTCGAATGCAACTCTGAACGAGAATAATATCTGTTCACATCTTCACATGTGATTTCATCGTCCTGCGAAATGAAATTTTAGCGACCACCAATCACGTTATAGCCGCGAAGATGATTAAATTCGCGACAAATTTAATCCAAATGTCAACGCGAGCAGAAGAAGAAAGAAGAAAACGCCATACGAGACTTATGAATATTTAAAGGAAGTTCCATTTTTAATGATTATCAATATTTTAATATCGATAAGACAAATACAAAGCCCCGGGCTTAAGTCTCTCGGTACTTTTCGGCGCATCTGAAACTTTCTGTGTATGTGTGTGTGTGTGTGTGTGTTCCCAATATATGCAAAGTGTAGTCGATATCACTGTACGCCAAAAAAAGGACTTGGTAACAATTACCAAACATTTAGCTGAATAGTTTTAATTAAATGATTTAGTTACAGTAACCAAGTCATTTAGTTGAGACTATTTAACTAAATGTATGGTAATTGTTACCAGATTCTTTTTTCAGTTTACATGTATCTTTTCCCTCTCTCTCTTTCTCTCCGTTTCTTTGCTTCTCTCTCAACCCCGACAGCGCGAACACACCCGCATACATGACGCAACCGTATCTTGAAGAGACAAGGACATATCTCCGTGCGACATATCTCTCTCTCTCTCTCTCTTTCTCGATCATACTTTTTTAAAGGAACAGACACCTCTCTGTCACAGACAGCGCCGTAGCAGCGGCAGCAGCAACAACGGCAACGACAACTTTCCGCAACTCCGTTCCGCGCGTATACACGGTTGTTAATATTACAATATCGCTCGTTACTCCCGACACTGACAAAACCTGCGCGCAATTCTTCTTCCTCTTCTTCCGCTGCTTCTTCTCCTCAGCCCGGTGACTCGTTTCGGAACACACGCGAGAACAGACGCGATACTTGTAACAAACCGCGATGCCGATATCGCGGATGGTGCATGGTGTAGAATAGAGCGCATGATACCGCTTGTTCGCGAATGCGTTATTTCAGGAATATTGCAGTGTCGCGAAAGCGAGGAAATTAGGCGAGGTGAAGCGAAGGCGGCAGGGTCGCGCGAAGAAGAAAGAGACGCGCCCGTGCGCGCACGCTTCTTCTCTGTCTCTCTCTCTCTCTCTCTTTCTATCTTTTTCTCTCTCTCTTCCTCTCTCTCTCTCTCTCTCTCTCTTCGCCTCTTTCTAACAATACAAGGGCGCGGCCGCGATGATTAGAGAAAGAAACGGGAAAGCAGGGGAGGGCCTGGTGAGAGAATGCAAGCCTCACCTGTACTTTGGCCACCACGTAGCTTCTGCTCTGGCCTGTCGACCCTCTCCTCACTCGGCGGAGGTGGTCTCTCTGTCCTTTTCGGATTGTAGGGGTTGTACGATGGCCACACGGTGGTCGGCCTTTTTGCTGGCGGTGGTGTGCTCGGTCGTCCTGAAAATAGATTAGGACCTTTCTCATCTGACCCAGGCACTCTCCGTTTGCTCCCCCTTTCCTTTTCTCCTTCTTTTTCTACTGTGTCTCTGTGTATATATATATATATATATGTTTGTGTGTGTGTGTGTGTGTGTGTGTTTTTCTTTTTTTTTTCTTTCGCTTTTATACCCGCCGATAATCCAGTCCCGCGCGGTGTATTTCCTCCACTATTTATCTTCCCCGCGCGCTCTTTCTGTCTCTCTCTCTCTCTCTCTCTTTCTCTAGCTCTCCCGCGTTGCGCTTTCGCTCCTGTATGCCTGATTTTATCGTATGCGTGTGTATGCGCTCTATTCTACACCATACAAGGCAGAGCGCAGCGGCGAAATTATACGCGACATGACGACGACGATGACGGCAATTTAAGCGACGTCGCAACGGTAACGCAACGACAACAATCGCAGCGCGTACGGTGGACGAATCTAGCTTTCGGGCTTTAGAGCGGATTCGGGCTTACGGAAAATGAGCCCCTCCTTTGTGCATTTCTTAGCGCCGTATACGAACCATCTCGTTATACTCTTAACATAATAATAACATAAAGTATGTTTTTTTAGAATTCGTTGAAACTTGCACTATACATATACTTAAATATAACCTAATTATCGGCGCAATCAGAAGTAAATTGATCATTCGGAAGCTGAGATACTCGCAACTGGCATTGATACTTTTTATGAAATCCTCCTTGAAGTTAATTTCCTATTAAAAATTTTATTTTTTATTTCTTCTAAACGACGTTTTAATATGAAACTAATGTGGTTTTAAGGATTGATATAGAGACATTATACAAAAATTTCAGAATTATTGGCCATTTTGTTTTGAAAATACAGCGGTGCACAGTTCATAACTTGTAGTAATACTCGAGTCGCATTTACATATGAATATGAAGAATATTGGAGAGCGAATAAAAATATCATCGTATTGCTGATTTAAGAATCGAGCGAGCCGACGTAAATTTCCGACGACGGACACGTTACGACGAAATTCGCGACGGCCGAAGCGTAATCTCGAACGGATACGACGGGGAACATATGCGCGCGCGCGCGCGGGCACGCGGCGGGTGTGGGTTTGATGAATTCTACGAGCTTCTTTGAAAACGAGCCAAGTTCAACTTGTTGCGTTCGATGCCGACGGACGGTTCCATTGAGCGAAATGCTTTCTCACGACGCGAGAAAATCTCGCAACGGAAAAAAAAAGGAGATTGCAGAGGAAGCGCCCGCAGTTTTCCTTTCCCCCGCGAAGCGTCCATTTTGCGTTCTCTCTTCCTCTCTTTCTTTTTAACCAGTCATCACCATTAGGCGCGCGAGAAAAGATGCCGCGTGTGATTCGAGCGCAATTCCCGCGGTCCGTGAAAACGGACGCCTCTGTTTTTTTTCTTTTTTTTTTCTTTAAATGTTCACTACGTATTTTCGAGCGATAAATCGAGAACTCGTTTTCCCAGGTCAATTTCCCGAAGTTGCGCGATTGCTCAACCAACAAAATTGCTCGACCGACCGCGAAATATTTACGAAGCGACTGCACCGTCGATTCCGTCCAAGAAGAGACACTGTCCATGCGTGTCTACTTGATCGCGTCGATTATTCGCCGAGCCGCGTAAAAAAGGCCGCGCACGGTTTAATTCAATTACATCATCGGCAACATAGGATCGTATAGTCGGCTAGGCGCTAGGCGGAGTCTTATCTCCGTAAGTAAGAAAACGCAGAATCCCCGGAGAATCGCATCCTTCGCATCTTCCGACGATAGATTGAAACTTTACTTACACGATAATTCTGTAGGGCGCGCATCACAAGCCGGGGGTGTAATTCAAGTTGATATTCACCACGGGGCCTGTATACTTCTACCGCGCGGAGAACCGCCCTTCGTGACTCGCCGGCGAGAAGGAGAGAGAGAGAGAGAGAGAGAGAACGAGGCGGTGGCCTGACGCTTATTTCGTTCCCCATAATCGTGCAGATTATTCAAACTACCATCGTTCGTCGCGCGGTCCCACGCGTGCCGTTCGTCCGCGCGATCGCGAAAACTATGTCGCGAAGTAATTCGAAGTATATATGAATTATACCGGCGGTGCGGCCCCGGTGGTCGCAAGACGCCGCGATGCACGCTCGTTTTACTTATCTCTCTCTCTTTTTCTCGCCGAGTTCACGAAGTAAAAATATCAATCTTTCAATTTTTTTCGGACTTCCGAGAGATACGAATCGCCGGTACGTTAACGTGGCGTCTCGCGCAGCGAAGTTTAAAATAGCGGTAGCGCTATATTTTCAATGGCACACAAGGGAGCCACTTGTAAATTTAGTATTTGTCAAGCAAAATTACGCTCCTATACATTTATTTCACTATTTAAATGGTAAATTTACACACGATAATATTAATAATGACAATATTAATGTTCAAATCGCATTGTAACATCCGTGCTCTGCTGCCGAAGGTCCGTGGAAATTTCTTCGTTCGGTTAAACCAAGAAGGACCGCTCCTTCTTGGTTAAATGAAAATGCTCAATAATTCCGAAATTCGCATAAGATGTCTCTATATCAGTCCTTAATATCACAGCAATTTTTCGTTGAAATCCCCAAATGTGGCTTGGGAGAAATTAAAGATGGAAGTTAAAAATAGGACACTAACTTCACGGAACTTCACGTGTAAAAAGTGTCATTTTCAGTTGCGAATATCTCAGCAATGGTCGATCGCGATTCTAATTCGCGCCGATAATTAGGTCACATTTAAATCTACACGTAGCGCAAGTTCCAACGAATTCTAAAAAAAAACTAATTTTACGCTACTATTACTACTACTACCCACAAACGGGACGATAGCGAGTTTACGACGTGGAAGTAAAATAACGGTAACCCAATTCGCGCGACATATTACAATTATTGTCTGTACGTAGCGCGAGAAACGCTGTGGCGGTGCGTTCAAAAAATCTCTAACACGGTTCGCCCAGGACAACCGTTTAAACACTCGGCGTGTACGAACGTCACTTAATTAATTTCCCCGAGTGAAGCCCGGCTCTCACTTCTTGAGTCGCTTTCGCCCGAGCGAATTCCGCGTCCCCGCCGCTCGACGGCAGTCGACAATGTGCGCTTAAGCCCCACACTCCTAACCACCCACCCACCCTCCACCCTCTCTGTTCTCTCCGCCACATTTCCGACACTCTCCGACACGACTCTCCTTCGCTCCTTCTCCTTCGTCGCTCCCCGCAGTCTTTCTGGTTTGCAAACAAGCGACCCTTTAACCCGCCCGCTAACTTGGCGCCGGTCCGGGCACTAAAAAGTTTTCGAATAAAAGTTTAAATACGCCCCGGACGCGAACTTTGTTTCGTGGCCCTGCTGTGTGGCGGCGGCCCTCCGACGACAATATGGCAGCTTTTGGGTCACCTGTTTTCCACCGGCGAGCACGGACGCATCTTCTCGTGTTGTGTCGTTTGCGCGTTAACGTGCTCGCGACGCTTACGAATAGGTACTCGGTTAACGGTCTCTCTCCTTTCTCTCTCTCTCTCTCTCTCTCTCTTTCTGAAAGCGGGCAATCACAACGGGGCTCGTATTTCATCCGGTCTCTCGCTGCCCTTTGTTGCCCTTTCCCGGGGTGGGGTGCGTCGGAGCTTGTTTGGGAAGTTTCGAAATAACTCGTTGAAAATTTAAGAGTCTCGCGGCGCCTCCTCCAAAGTGCCGCGGCGAGCGCCAAGAAGAATTTGTTTCGCGCACGCGGACAGTAGACGCGGGGGGAGAGGGGAGCGAGAAGGGGGGGGGGAGTAAGGAGAACGAGGGTAGCGCTGACTGGCTGGCAGATGCGAGAGAGCAGATTCGAGCTGGTGCAGAACCGTGAGAACTAAAGTGACGGGATGACATTATTAATCGCTTCGATCTTTGATTTAACAAAGTGCACGATCGCCTCCACGACGTATTCGTCTCGACGAGTAAATCCGTATCTACGACAGGTATAAGGAGAAAAATAATTTGCCGGCACAGCAAATTTCACGCTGTCGCAGCTGAGCCTCAGCCAGTTTCCGAGTTGAAATTTTAAATTCTGCGTTAACCCTTCAAATGGAGAAAACGGAGATAAGTTCACACTTGTAGCATCAAAAGAGCACAATAAGTGCTTCTTCAATACTACAAAGGGAATTTAGTCCCTTCAGAATCGGAATTTTACGTTCCACGTTAAGTCTTAAACTTATATCACCAGCAGAAACGTTATTATGTTTAAAAACTTTTTTAACGGTGTAATTATGAATAATCTGTTAATTTGATCATGCCGATTAAATTTCATCGTTGTCGAGATGAATATACAGCAGCAATGATGATTTCGCTACAACAGCAAGATTATTTCCCTCTGTATACAGTGAGTCTCTAGTTCTAAGCACTAAATTATAACGTAATTTCTAGGAAAAAGCGCTTTCAGAACCATCAGACGTTGCAGTTCTTAAGTTTTAAGTGTTATCACTTAACTTTTGACGGGAAATGCCTTTTGTCAGAAATTACGTCATATTTTATTGCTTAGAGCAAAAAGCTAAGGGTTTACTGCACCTGTTCGAAGGAGGTCGCTCGCAAAATGACCTTTGAGCGCGCGAAATAACGTACGCTAGAATGAGTGACGCGGCGCGAGTTAAGAATCGTTTCTTCGTTTCGTCAGAGAGAGAGAGAGGGAAGAGAGAAAGTAGATTCTCGGGAAGCGCGTTTTATAAGTAGAATGTAATTATACATGAGTTATACACAGTCGGAAGTTATTCGAGCTCTCTTAACAAACTATTCTTTCCGGCCGGATTCCGCCCAGTGGCGCTTCTCCGCTTCTTCGGAAAATTTACACCGTGGAGGGAAAACGCTCAATGCAACGAAGTTTCAACGAGGGCTTTCAGTTTATGCCCGCCGCGTTCGATGGAGTTTGATCTGTTTAATGAGCAAATTGATTCTATATAANGGGGGGGGGACGAGAGAAAGAGAGAGGGAGAAGCGTTCCGCAACTTTTTAATCGACGTAAAGACTGAGGTAGAAGAATTCACGCCGCGGATCATACTTCCAATCTTCCTAACTAAATATCCGAAGGTATCCCGTATAAATTGTAATCCCGCGGACTGCAATTCATCGCGGACTCGCTTCGCGGGAGAAATTTCTTTTTCAGAAGGGGTGAGGGATCGGGTTAAATTATGTCGATGAGACGCGACATTTTCCGACCACGCCACGGGAGATCCGGAGTCGCTCGTCGCGCGTTGCTCTGCAACCGGGGGGCGGCTCCGCCATTAAATTCTCGTCAATGCGAGCGCATAATGATGTTTACAGTCACTTGGCGCCTCCTCAGTTTTCACGCTTTGTTTCGTCGTCGCTGCTGCGCGGCGCAACAATCCGATAGTAGCAGGGACGTTATTTCCCTTCCTCTCGAGATACTTCCAGATACGCTGCATTAACGTTTGCCGCTTGTAGCAATGGGTCGCACATTTTAGATACGATGGCCGTAGCAGATATTGCATACCAACGCGCGCGTGTGCAACGCGGCATATAGTCTATAATGCCAGAAATAATTTCGGCCTTCTTATCGGCTTTTAATTAATTACGCCCGACAGAATCGATAGTTAGTCCGCGAGGCAACTAGTGTGCACGAATTATTGAATACCGCGTGCCTTCGCCGATCTAATTCGAATCTTCTTATTACCGTTGGATTCTCCCGGGAGAGGAAGAGATAAATTCGCGCGCGATTCAGTATTCAAGCGTGATTATTTCAACAGGAGGTACTACCGACGAACCGAATTGCGAATCTGTCGCAAGGTCGAGACTCCACTGAATAAAGGAACAGATTCTCTCGCCTCTCGCTGCTCTCGATACGTGTTGCGTGGAAAATATAAAAGAAAGAGAAGTGAGATTTATCAAATATTACGCCGCGATATTTAAGGCAGCACCTCGAAGTATCGGAGATCCATTTTAAATGCCGTTCCCCGATCAAGTGAATGCATATATTAATATGTTTAAAATATCGTCAGAGAAAAATTTTATTGTCTCATTCAAGAAAACTCTATTGTTTAACTTATTAACCGAAACATTAGTTTCTTTGGAGCGTACCGACGATGAAATTCGTTTGGATGCAATAACATTTATTAAATTTGGAGAAATCTTTTTCCCATTGCACGACGTAAACAATATCATCGTACGATTTCCCGTTCGAGGGAAGGGATTGTATTAAAGGCGTAACGATATTCATCCGTGGAAAAGCGAGAGGCCGATTCGTATCGCGAATGAAAATTGTCGGAGCATCCGACAGGCTGTTCGAATGTTTCTTGGAAAATTAGGTTCTCGGTATAATTCCGCTATTTTCTCTTTGGAGAACAGTGGTACTATCTAGTATCTACCGCGCCACAGCCAACAATGCAATCTCACTCTGCGCTGCGTGCACCCCCACCCCCCTTTACCCCGGTGTCCTCGCATCGTCGTCAGTAATTGAATTTTAAATGCGCTTAATTAGGTCACCGGTTAAGCCACCGATGTAATATCGCGATATAAAATTAAAAGCTTCGTTCTGATTTGGACGGGGTAGGAAGATAAACCTCGATTTATATTGCACGGGCCAGAAATAGAAAATTTGGCGCGGATTAACGTTTCTCTTTCTCTTTCTCTTTCTGTCTCTCTCTCTCTCTCTCTCTCTCTCTTTTTCTTTTCTCTTCATATGGCCGACTGTAACAATAAATTGTACGGGTGAAAAATGCCGAGTATAAAACGCCGAAAGAGCGGCAAATTTTTTCACCACGCTCCGAATTCACGGATTTTTAGGATATTCACTGATATAAATTGTAGTTATTTTCGGATTGAAATATACCTTTTCCGCTGCGTCGAAATAATCCCCGTGATCATGTGATCAACGTTAACATGTTGGTGATCTTACATGCTAATACTTTTGCGGTTAAAGCGAAAAAAAAAAAGTATATTATATATATTTAAAGTCGGAAATAACTATAATTTCTATAAGTACTCTCATCGTCTTTTCTTTCGTAGATTTTTGCATAATATCTGAATATTAGTCTTTAATACCATAGTAATTTCTCATTAAAATCTTATTGTTAGTTCAACAGATATAAAGCATAGAAATTAAAAAAAGCACACTAATCTAGAGGGACAAAAAGTAGTAGAGTGTGAAAAGTATCAACTTCAGTCGCATATATCTCAAACGGTCAATTCTCCTCTCTAATTGCACGAGCAGTTGGATAATATTTCAATATACACGCGGCGGAGGTCTCATCGAATTCTTATCGGAGCTCATTTCGCCTTACAGCCTCCTTAAAAGCGAAGAAAGTATCTTACACCCGTCTTCCATCGAATCCGTCCCTCATCGTGCCTCCTCTCGTCGCGCGACTTTTGATACGTCGTCACGTGCATCCTGCATTTCGAATCGCGGATCGCCCCGAAATGGATCCGTAATCTTATCTGCACGGATAAGACGAACGGCAGTCCCATTGGAAACTGCTAGGCGCTTAACGTCGTGTTCGTGAGTTATTGCATACCTCGGCTAGGTCATTAATAATCCCGTAGTATTAAGATTGATTCGGAGACGCCGGAGAGAGAGAGAGATAGAGCTAGTCGCAGAGATAGAGAGAGAGAGAGAGAAAGAGAGAGGAGGGAAGGGGGGGGAGACGAACCCGCGACGCGTCCCTTGCCGATTTCGCCAAAGTTTCTCGTAATATTTAATCAGTAGCTGAGGCCATACATTATAGTGAAGCCGCTGTCTCGTCTTGCTCGCGAAGTATGTGCATCTGCGGCGGCGTCGTTAACATCGCCAAATTGCATTAGCCGGCGTAGAAGCACGCGCGACGTCGACCGCACGACCACGGGGACTACTTCGACGTGCGCGCGCGCGCGGAAAGTCGTCGTCTTCGTCTCGGACGAGCGTCTCCCGATTATCGTTATTATCGTCCTTCTCCGCGTTCTCTCGAAGAAATCACAAAGGTCAAAGGACTCGCGCCACCGACGGCCTCGTAAATCGGGCTCGCTTATGACCCTCACTTTTACGATCGTCGTCCGAGCTCGGACGAGAGGAGGACTCGCGGTGACATTATCGCGGCGGTCGCCGCTGCGCGAAAATCCGCGGGCAACATTTATTCATTAGACAGAAGTCGATTCTCTCCCCCTTCCCTCTCTCCATCGTCTCGCTCGCTGTGCTTTCTTTCTTTCTCTCTCTCTCCCCCTCTTTCCCCGAAGACTTCGGAACTCGACTCGAGCTTCGGAATAACGATAATCCACGTAGAGGCCACCGGTACGAAGCGGCGCTACGGTAAAATTGCGAAGCTTAATAGCGGTAATACCGTCGTGGCCGAGCCTTGTATGGCGTTAATAATGTAGTATATTGAGATTGGTTTCGCGAGGTTGAGGTGAGGAGGTCGGAGAACACGTGGTGGAGGGGGAGAGCCACCGCAGGGACCTGACCTAGGCATCCGCCCAAGTTATTCGCCCCGCTTTAATAATACACCGATGCGCTGATGCGATGCACGACTATGCGTGAGCCTGATATAAAGGCCGTTCGCCAGGAAACGTCGCACTTTGCGCGCGATACGCTCGCGTAATCCCCTCCGAGGAACGTCCCGTCGCGTTTAAAAGGGTGATCGCTTTTAACTGCGTATGTACCGGCGCTTTAACCTCCTTTGCACGTTCATTTGTTCGTTCGTTCGTTCGCGCTCGCCTGAACGCGCCCGGCATGTTAAGGTGCGTATACACACCTGACGAACACCTGGCGAATGAACAGCGAACGAACTGTACAGGAGACTCGATTAATGCCATCCCATTTCCCAGGCATACACGGAGAAAGAAATTTTGCTAGAACAGCAAATTGTTCGGACTAATATATCGACGGTAAAAACAAATTTGTTCGGACGGTAAAAAGATTCGTTAAAGGTATTGATTGCTATTTGCTGGTTATACGGATAGCAAAATAATTCGGTTGTGCCAATTGAATTTTATTGCTGTCGCAACGACATTTTGCTATAACAGCAAAATCAACAGTCATGATTGTCAGGAATGTTCAGAAATGACGGGAATTTCCGGTGTCGCTACGCCTAGAGGGATGGAATGGCGTTAATGGAGCCACCTTTCTTCCGTAGCCACCTTTAGCGTCACTCCGTGCGCCGAGAGAGGGAAATATTTCGATACGCGCCGGACGATAAACGACAAATGTCGGGAGAATTAATTAAGCGTCATCGCGGCCGCTTTAATCACCTGTTCGCGATGCTGCCCGAACAATACCGGCCGACAATCCGTCCGCGCCGCGAGAAGATGCGAATTATTATATCCTCGCGCGAAAGAGGCGTGAGATAAATCGCCCTAATTCAGACATTCCGTCGCCCCCCCCCCCCTTCGTTGCCCCTCGTTCGCTTTTTTGCGTCGCCGAGCGGGCGAGCCGCACCTGCAGCCAACCGGAGTTCTCTTTCGTTTCGTGGTTTAGGTTGGCGATGCGTCGAAGGAGAAGCGAGAAAGCACTCCGGGGCTCTACGATTTGGGAATAAAATGTGGATAATGAGAGAGTTTGCGTCGGGTGGCGACAGGTAGGGAGGTGAGGGCCGGTAGTCGGAAGAGCGAGGGGAGCGATGATATCGATTCCCGCGGGATCGGAATGCATACATTCAATAAAGGTTCTCACCTTCTTTGTTGGCGCTGCTCTTGATCTCCGTCGCCTTCGGTGCCGCGGACGGCTTCGGAATGGCTGAAAATAAAAGAAATCGCTCGTCTTTAATGACGTCGTACAACCCCCTCAAATATCGGCCGATAAATTCGACTCTCGAACTCTCCGCCGTCTTATTCATATTTTAGCCCGGGAGGGGTCATCTTATCTGCCGACGAACGGCCGGGGGAGGGGGACCGTTATAAACGGGGCGCGCTGGTTATACGGCGTACGTTTCCACCGGGCGATTTAACCGTGCCGATTTACTGCTAACACGTCCACCTCGTCTTAAATAAATCTTCGACTCCGACGAAATTAAACAAAGGCGCGGAGGAGATTCGCAATTTATGCGCGAGCGAGCGCGAGGAAGTCGTTTCACTTTTAAATTATTCACGTCGCGAACTCCGCGAACTCCGCGACGTCCCGCGTGCAGAGGAAGTGCGGGCAATGTGGAACAGCCGCGTAATATGGAACACCGCGATTTCTAGCCTGCTGAATGTCGCGACACAACGGATAGCAATGGAATTATCAACCGCTACACCTCTAATCTATTCTAATTTACAGAGCGGCGGACCAGCACGAGATCGTGTCGCAGTGTATACGTCTAATTGGAGATTTTCTGCATACCGTCACTTTCGTCGGGTATGTTTTCAGACTTTTATTTAATGGCCAATCTATTTCACAAATTTCTAACAATCACTTTTCATTATACGTAAAATACTAAGATATACACGGAAAAAAATAATCCGGCTGAATTAACCGGAAAGGGAACATCCAGATGCGTTCTGGTGGCACGGAAGAGAATTTCTGGTCCCTGCGACTCGAATATAATGCTTCCAACCAGAAATTCTATTCTTCTATTCTATCTATTCTATTCTTCTATCCTATTCTTCTATTCTATTTTTCTATTCTTCTATTCTATCTTTTCTATCTTTCTATTCTTCTATTCTATCTTTCTATCTATTTCTATCTTTTCTATTCTTCTATTCTATCTTTTTACCAGAGCATGTAAGTAACGTCGCAAAAAGAGACGTAAACAATGGGATGAAACTAACATGACATTATAACATTATTATAACAGAAAGGATAAAAAAGTTTATAACAGATTATAACAGATTATAATGTAATAATAAATATATAATGTGTAATAATCATTATAGAATTCGATCATTATATAATATTTGTCGAAATATGAGAAGAATAATTTTTTTTGCAAGATAAATGAGGTGTTCCGTTTCAACTGACCTATTCCATGTTACCTTTCCAAAATCTAAAATCAAAATTCAGAAAAATTGATATAACATTAAACTTACCATAAATAACCAAAATCCGTTATACGAACATGTAAAAAACACTTGACATTACAACTCAGTAAAAACTAATTTCAGTTATCCTAATAGATTTCGATTTACCTTAAACAAACCTCAGGGTGTTCCATAATACTCGCACTTTCTCTGTAGACGAGCGCCGTTTGCGCGGGTAGAGACATGCAGAGATAACGGTTAAGAAAAAAAAGGGAAAGATATCAAGAGAAAGNGGACACGGGGGGGGGGGGGTGAAAAGTGCACATCGGCTTACGGTATAATCTGATGGATCCTTCGGTCTCGCCCAGCGAGTTTTTGCTAATGCACCGGTAGCTACCGAAGTCGGTCGACGTCAGGTTCCTGACAATGAGCCTCATGTGCGCCCGATAGCTGTTCTCCATGATGCTCGTGTTGTACTTCTCGTTGGAGAGTATCATCTCGTCGCCCAAAAACCAGTAGCTCATGGCGCGGGGATAGGCTTCCGTGTGGCAGTCGATTGTCGCGTCGGTGCCGATCGGCGCACCGACCAGCTGGTTAGGTACGAAGATCATCGGGGAAACTGGAACATCCAAAAGCGCGGATTCGTTACGTTTAATTTTGTTTCTTGTCATTTTATTTCGTTGTTATTTACTTATTTCTGGTGTTATGTTACTTCTCAATTTCATTTCTAGCGTTTTATATCGAAATTTTTCGTTTTATATATTTGCGCGTATGTGTATGTGTGTGTGTGTGTGTGTGTGTGTTGAAATATAACATAGAATTTAATTATATAGAATACNAAGAAATATTTAAGATAATAAATATTTTACATTAATGATACGATCCTGAAATTACTTAAAATTGATTAAAACTGTAATTTTTTTAGTTTTATATCGTATTTTATACTGTCAGTCACCGGTGACTGACGCGGTCCAAACGGAAAGTTCAGTCACTGGTGACTGACGTGGCAGTTAACGTGTTAATATATATATATTCAAAATTCATATATGATTTTATATAATTATATATAATCATATAAATCATTTTTTCCGGGTTAATAATAGCAATAAATGCATGGGAAAATAAATTTCAATGCAAATGTGTTTGTGAGCGAATGCACTCAGTTTCTCGCGTGCAATGCTCCGCTGGATCTGCCCAGTGCAGGGCACGGAATGCAAGGAAGGATCGGTGTGGTGAGGGAAATTCTTTGAAATCGAGCTGCGGTTGTGCAATGGTTTATTCTGCTGTCGCGACAGAATGGCGATCTATCCTTTACAATGCGAGGCGTGATGATATTCTTCCTTTTCTTGTGCCACGCGCAACCGCGGTTACAAGACGCAACACGATTCCAGTCGACGATCGCAACGTTCAAAAATTACAATTATGAAGTAGTCACGAGGCCGCGAAAGATGTCTCGTAACGAGATGAAGAAAAACGTGAGATCGATGTCTCGCACGGACGATCGACCCGTAGCGAGCCGAGATACGCGAAAAATTAGAACCGAACAGCTTGTTCTAATTTCGATTCGAAAAGTCTCTCTCGCTGAAAGTTCGCTTAACGTTTCTTCAACGGTCTCTCGGTGCTCTCAAGGCACCCAGTTTATATTCCGATATCACGTTCGTTTTTTCAAGCGGAACGAATAGATTGATCGACCTTCGATCGGACGAAGCCTTTTCGAACATGTTCAACTGTGGCAATGTTTTTTGATCAAACATGACAATTAGGTGTTCTTATACCCGAACACGTGATGAGACACGCGTGTTCCATATTTACTTGTGTTGTTGTTAGCAATCCGCGTGTTATTGTTTTCGAGATCGTTTCCCGCATCATGCTCGGCTCACATGATGAGCACGATAACATTAACGATTTCCGTTTGAATTCAATTAGAATGTTGAATTATGTATAGACAACGTGTGTCCGCGAGCTCGTGTCGTTGCTGAGAAGTTATGTAACCTTGGGAAGAATAATATATATATGTAGGGCACCGCCGAGCGATCATAACAGTCTTTGACGCGCGAGTAAACAGATCAGTAGACGGTTATCGCGCGTTATTCCCGATTTTTCGAATCGAAACGTGTCTAAGATTGCGTTAAGTGTCTCATTACGTTATTTCGCACGCACTAAGATCATCGTGCTACGATCATTTTGAATAATGCCGACGTCCTAAGGGTAACTATCGCTTTCTAGTTCAAAGGAAGAATACGCAGTCTTGAACTCTCCCGATCTTGTTCCTGACGCATTCGCATCTGTTCGTACGGCCAACCAGAAAGTTTGCTTTTTGTTTCAGATCTAATGGAGCTGGTGGCCGCACGGTGGGTGTGTGCGGGAAAGTTGCCGGGAAGTACGGTGGATGCAGATGCAGTGCTGGAGAATCCAGCCGAGGCAGGGGTCGGTTTCGAGGTAAATTCATACACTTTCTGGTAGCATCGAACTCTTCACGGTCGCAAACTGAGACACACAGGGTTTACCAAAAGTGTGGAGACAATGGGAATGTCTGGAAGACGAAGCAATCGGCGAAAAATAATATGGACGGGGACTCTGTATTTCCTTGGACGTCATATTTCCCGCTGAAATCCTTCCGCGGTCTGTTTATAGTCCGCGATGTAAAATTAAAAACGCTGCGTACAGCCGCGCGGTAATACCAAGTTTCGTCGTAACACGCAGACACGACGGATCAAGTTTGTACTTTCCGACATGGCGCCCCGCAAAATGCGCCACGAGTCGGGAAACGAGTTGGGAACAAAGTCTATTATGGTTACAAGTCTAACGCCGGCGTTAAGGTTACGCAATGAAGAGTTAAAGCCGTGCGAGACGATGACGACGTTCGTCGCTCGCATTCGTTCGCATGACCGTCGCGCGACGGTTCCCGCGTCTTTACTCCCCCCCCACCCCGCGTTCGTATTTCTCGCGGGCCATTCCGGACGAACAATTTTCTAACTCGGCGACCAGAAACGGCTCCTTCTTCGTTTCGAATTAATCCGACGTCGTCGGATGCGCCCCACTTGTATACGGCGCTATCATCGCCGTCGTTGCCGGCAAGTGTGCTTTGGTAACGGGTTAAATTAAAGTTGCGAACTCCGGCGGCGGTATATGAAACAATAAGGGAATAATAATACGCTAACTGGGTCTCGTGGAAGGGCAGCGGTGTAAAACGACACCGGGTGCAAAAGCTCGTTTGAATCGTGTAACGAGACGAAATCATATCCGATGCGTTATTTTCGCATTGCTTATCGCCGATATCGCGGTTTACCACTTTTTCAAACGCTTTTCTACCTTTCCATCAGAATCCCCTAAATGTCTAAACTTTCGAACGAAACAAATAAACGTTATCGACGCGTGTATTGTTATAATAATTTCCCAATTTATTTCCAAGATGTAGTTACTTTGTCATTAATTGGGACATTCGTTTGGAATAAAAAAAGACGGAAGGACGTTCCTAACAAGGTGAGTTAAAGCCTCGCTGGTTTGTAATCGGCAACGTGGAACGAACAGAGAGAGAGAGAGAGACNGGGGGGGGGGGGGACATAGACGCAATCGATGGTAGGAAATAGGGAGAAGTGTGCATTAATTAAAGTCAACGTTGGCAATTTGTGGATTTGTGGTAAGCCGGGATGCACACCGCGGACTGCGCTGATATACAGGCACGGTCAAGTGATCATGACTCTCGCGCGAATACGCATTGTACAACGTGCACACCGCCGACATGCATTATTTCTCGTTATCGGGCACGCGAAAAATACAACACACCGTGGCGATAATTCGGGGAAATACAAATACGCGTTGGCGCTCCGAAAATGAAATCGCGCGTCGATGTATCTCGTCCATGAGCGCGCTGCTCCCCCGGATTGTTGCACGTTTCACGAGGATCGATTCACGATGCTTTATTTCACACGGTTATTTTTTTCCATCTATCTTGCCCGCGAGAACAAGAGATCGATCCCTTGCCGCGCGGAAAAAAGGCAGCTGCATCGATAGGAATTGATTAACCGCGCCGTAACTGTTCGGGAAAAAATCAACTCGAGACGCATGTTTTCACAAATAAGGAAGAATATATAATCTTATATGAGGATGAAACTTGCTCTTATATGCACGGAAAAGAAAATATATTATTATCTTCATTATTTTTCTCAGTGCGTGAATCTTAAATTGATACTAATTTCTTCCGTGTGGAGTAAATCTTCTTGATACGACGGCAATATTATTGAAGCTGATGGTCAAATGATTAAAACGACGTATGACGTACCCAGCTTCAGTAATACCCCCATTGAATCAAAAAGAATTTACTCCGATTATGACGCGGTTGAACGAATCTACCGAAACGCAACAGCATTTCTATTCCGTGTACGCGTCATTCCGTCCCTCGTAATTCCGAAATAAAGCGTCTCTAACGCGCATTTCCAGCGTGCGAATTTCTAATACGAGCTGTCGGCTGGCCGAAGAATCCCGCCGTAATTTAGATTCCGCCCGTAATTAATTACGGCCAATGAAGAAAGGGTATTTCACTTCGCAACAACGACGGGTCATCGCGGCTCAACCCTCGTCGTACTCGCGCGCACCGACCAACGGGGGAGGGGGAATCGCGGAACGGCACAGAGCGAAAACGGCGGTAACGTAAAAAGTCAACCCGCTAAATTGTGCATGTCTCATCAACATGCCTGATGAACTAACCCACCACTTGCGGCGACGGCCGCCCATGGAAACGTGTGCATACCAACCGAATTATGTCCTCATTCCCGCGCGCGCGTCTTCTCCCTTCGCCGCCTCGCTATGCTTTATGCAGCGGCACCATTTTGCCCGCATTGCAACGGCGGCGGCGAGTGGATAGGGAAAACGCGATACACTACGGGCCGTGTGTCGCTCTTCCTCCCCAGCTCTCCTCCGCAGCGAGCGAGCGAGCGAAAGTAGGAAAGATCGTTAGGGCTTTTGTCGGCGAATTAAACGTTCCCCGTCCGTCCGAAATTGCGCACCCTAATTTCCAAAATGACGCGCTGCGCGGAACGCAGATGTTTTTCCGCGACCCCCGGCTGAAAGCCCGTCGCGAGCGAGCGAGCGATTAAAGCCGAACGGTACTACGCGTTCCACGCGGATTTCATTCCCGCGCTGATTGCGCAAATCGACTGATGAACTGGCCCGTGCTTGTGTTTCGTATTATGCGTGTCTACACTTACGAGGCATAAGCGCACGTACCGATGAACTCGCTTTATTATTAGTCGCGCTCGTCACATTGTCTATTTCGTCTCGCGAAATCTCGAGCGAACGAGAAGTTATTACGGGGGAAACAAATTTTGCCGGAACAGCAAATGTTTGTCAATATAGTGACGGCAAAATTTGTTTTCTCCGTGCAGCAGAAACGGTAAGGTAGAAGAATCCGGAAGGAATACTTCGATTGATTGAGATTTATAATGTCCGAGTATATAATCTCTCTCTCTCTCTCTCTCTTTTTCTCTTTGTTTCTTTATCGAAAATTCTTTTTACAGCGTATTACGCCAAGCAGTTGTTAGAGCTCTGATTCTAGAAAGACGTCTCGACGTTTTACATTGATCGAGCACTCTCTTCCTACTTTTCTCTCGTCGCCGTGTTCCGCAATCTATTATTTTCTTCTTCTTGGATCGCTTATGTACTATGTAGATTCACCAATATATATATATATATATATTCACCAATATTCACCAATATATATATATATATATATATATACATAGATAGCGTAAGAACGAGAAACTCCTGGACTTTATTATTCCTTGCGCGTGCGCGCGGCGATTTTGGAAGAGCGCGTCCCGAGAAGAGTGCGGAATTAAAATCGAAGAAAAGAATCGAATATTCGATGTAACCGACGACGAAACATCACACCGTGTGTATATGTGTTTTATCTCTCATATAACGTTTCGTCAATAATGGGTGTAAAGTGCCGCATTAATATTTCCGGATCCGAATCGGCAAACGGTAATATAAATTGTCCGGTGTCCGTTTACCCATGACATAATTATCCGCGGAAGACAACAACGACAAGCGCGAGTCCGAATCAAATATAATCCCTCAGAATCGTAGTCGCGGGGGTAACTCCGTCAAAGCTAATATCTATTTCGAGTGAAGTTAAATTTATGAAACAGCATCACACACAGATTATATACCTACGGTAATAGCATTCATCGATTATCAGTCTTCCGATAGAATCGCTGGGAGACATTTGATTTCACCTCTCGATCGACAAGCCCCCCTTCCCCCTCCACCCTCGCACATACGAGAGAAGCGGTCCGTTTCAGAGGTATCAATGCGCTATCAAAGATTACGCTCCATTATCACAGCTAAACACACATAGTATAATATCGGTCAGATGTTCGACAGAGACAGTCATAACGCCGATGAATTATTGACTCTTGTGCCTGCGAGAGAGAGAGAGAGAGAGAGAGAGAAGGTGAGAGAATAAGATAGGGAAAGAGAGGGTTAGATAGGGAGGGAAATAAGCGAGGAGAGAGAGAGAGAGAGAGAGAGAGAGAATCATATCGGCAATCAGATCACGCCGAAGAATTTCCCCCGGCTCGCTCGTCTTACGCTCTCGTTACATACAATAAAACTTTTACAAGACGGTCCCCCCCGCAAATCCCTACGCACGTACGTCGTGCATCACACAGGGTGGCGCATGTTGGCGCAGGAAGACGATTTCTGAAGCGTCTGCTATGAGCCGAAACGCGCCGCGCCGCGCCTAGGAAAACCGATGTTTTCCTCCCGCTCGTCTAAATAAAATATGTCTCCGCCTTCTAAATATTCAAGAGATACCGCCCGGCCTCTCTTTCTCTCTGTAATGTCCAACCACGTTCGTACCTACCTACCTACGTATCTTATCCACCCATCCACTGTTGCCTTCTTTCTTCAACAACGGAGGGAGGGGGAGACGCACACGGAGCCGCCGCAACGCGGGTGCAGGCATACGAAGTGACACGAACGAATGAAACGCATAAAAGGGAAAAATGACCAGGGCCGACGGGACGGCTTGTGCGGGGCTTCCCGTATTTCCCCCGGGTTTTCCCGACCCGGCGTTTTCCCTCCGACATCCCTAGCCACCCCGTCCGCCCGCGCTGCCCCATCGTCCTCCTCGCGTTGTTGTCTGATACACGTTTCGACGGAGCACGTGCGCACCCAGGTTAACGGCAACGTGTGCACGCGCGGCTCTCCGCGCGCGCGAGCGCGCGTGCTGCAATTCGTGAAATGAAATTTAAACAATACACGAGCCAGGATCCGCCGTCGCGACGAATCGGCGGCGGAAACGTGTGCTCGTGCGCGCGAGCGTGCTCGTATATATGACGAAGTGTTTAAAATTTATTCAATAAATCGTCGCCCACGTTGGACACGTTCCAGGCTCCGACGTTTGATTTTCTCCCCTTATGAAGAAACCTCCCTTATTCGCTATTTGCGCTGTTTACGCGACGACGATTCCGCGCGCGCGCGCGAACGGCGAGTCAAGAACATATTACTCGTATGAAAATTTATGAAATTATCTCGCTTTAAAGAAGGCCATTTTTCACTTCAACCTCCTTTAAAGTGAAACAACCTTTTTCATACGGGCTCTGAATTACCGTCAAACTTTCGACGTCACTTTCAAATGCAATGCAGAGCTCGATTCGTAATTTTTTTATTATTTCGATTTTCACGGGTGATACATCTTTAAAGCGTCTGGTGGACGTTCGGCGCTGGCGATCGCGGCCAGTCTCCCGCGACCAATTAACGTAACGTAATTATCACGATGATTAAGTTCTCCGACGTGCACGCGCGCTACGTGCTGCCGTTTTGTGTCTTACGTTATCAACTCACGCACGCACACACGAGCGCGCATACACGCGCGAGGGGGGAGTAACTTTTACTCTCGCGTTACCGCGCATAATCGTGATAGCGGCATGAATTATAATAACGCGATTTGGCGGCATCGCGGCCGCGCGGCGGTGATCGACGGCACGAAGTTACGTTATCAAATTTCCACGCGGTGGCAATTGGCAGATACTTTCTCGCTAAGCCTCGCGCGAACGGGCGAGCGAGCAACTACGGCCGTGAATCGTTGAATTAAATATCCACGTGTCGTTAGGCGTTTATTGCCGCGCATTTAGCATGTAACCTCGTAAAATCGTAATTATCGCATCACCGCCGCCGCCCGCTCGTCACGTCGCACCGGCGGACCGTTTCTCCGCGCTCTGAACGTAAGTCGTATTATTAGATTCGCACTTCGATTCTTTAATAGAATACAGGTTAGAAGGAGAAGAAAAGCTATGAATTTTATGTTCACTCGATCAGAACAATTTTCGGCGCCGATCAGCGCTTTTACTCCTCCGCGACCTTCTGAAAGTGTCGCTCGTTTCACCCGTGATCTTTGCAAACGACATTAATATTTTTCAGACAAAAACTGATATTTCCGTTGGTGAGCGAGGAATCTGAAGTATCAAAGTGAGGTCAGAAACGGAACCTCAAGTGGGTTATACGAAGTCCTCGAGCGGCGGCGAGAGTTAATGGAGTCTGCACGTACGTGCGCGCGCGCGCGGATCGCTGCCCGTTGACGTACAAACGCAATAATAATGCGCGGCATGCTGGTAGCATAACAACAAAACTCACATTCGACATCCACGGTGATCCTCTTGCTGACCGTGGGCGGCACACCATTGGTCGCGATGCAGAGATAAGCGCCCATTTCGTTGCGCGTGATCCTCGTCAAGTTTAATTGCTCGCCATCATACATGGCCACTGAAACCAGAAGCGGGAATTGATTCAGCTCGAGAGGTCGAGGGGCGCAAATATAGTTTGCGGGGGAAACGGACGGACAGGCGCCTTCGCGCTAAATGGGTAAACAGCGCTTCATCCTTGTTATCTCGCGAGGGAGCGCGTTAGGGCTATGCAAATACTTCGGCTCCCGAAATTTAGCAACCGAATCTACCGAGCGAATTCAGCTCCTCGCTTGCGCTCGCACGCGGCAAATGACCGGTCTTCGACCGCAAGGATGAAATCAAAAGCGGGGGCGGAGGGAACGCTCGGTTACAACGAACGGACGAGCGGTGGTGTAACCACGAGTATCGGAAATTGCCGTTCGACTCGAGCGAGCGAACGAGCGAGCGCACAGATCCGCCGCGAAGATCGCGAAAACCGAGCGTAAATCGAGCGACGTCGCGGCGACACGTACGTGTGTATCGATCCGATATGGAACTCTCTTTCTCTCTCTCTCTCTCTCGGCGCGCCGGGACGAAGTAGCGAACTTGCGAGAGCCCGGAATACCCGAGCTTTTTATTGCCGCGTGATTTACGCCCTCTCGGATATCTACGTTGGTCTATTATGAAAGTTCGCGGCGGAAAGCTTATATTTTAGAAGTAAGATTATAGTAAAATTATAGGAGTCACGAGATAAAAAGAGAGAAGGGAAGGGGGCGAAAGAGAGAAAGGGTGGGGAAAACGGGGGAGGGACGCAGCGTGGGAGGACTAATAGTCGAGAGTCGTCAAACTTACTCGATAACGTTCGGATTTTTCTCCCATTAGGATCTTTTTTGTCCGGGGCGAGTTTCGCGTGAAGTCACCACCGTGACTGTAACGAGTAGCTCACGGCGAAACGCGCGCGACTCGCGTGATCGTGATTCCCGCTGTCATTATCGGCGAAGATGAATGCGTCGGCTTCGTGTCCACGTTGCATCGGGCGACGATTTACGAGGGGACTTGCGGTGTCCTTTTATCGCGAAAGAAAAGAACCGGCACGCGGGTTGACGGACGAGGTCGCATCGCGTAATAATGAAACACACGCCTGCGCCGGATCGCGCGTGTGTGTGTGTATGTGTGTGTAGCGATCGCGGTACAGACCGACGGTGCTGTGCCGGTCGATGAATTGCATCACGGAATTGATGACGGAACGGAATTCGACCGACCGAGAAAGAAGCGGCCCGCCGACGGAATCCGACGGAAAGAGAAAGGATCTCCGCCGGTCGGCCCGACGTGATATTTACCACCCCGTAATGACGCTCGCTTGCTGCTCCCCCCGCTTCGCTCGCGCGGTACCACCCGGGGGTCCAATAAACCGGCGCGTTTCCGCGACGGGGAACTCAACAATCAGCCGATTCTTAATTAGCGACTCGAGCGCACAATAGCGCGCACTTCTCTCGCGAGCTTCCGTGAGCGCGCGCGAGCGCAAGCGATCGACGAACATTATTCCCTCCATTATCCCCGGTGAATTCGAACAACACTGTATCTTTCACGACGCCATTGTAACGTTATTCCATTTCGCCTGACTGTACACAGCGAGAGCGCGACCGAACGATAAAGCTATTCTGCGCCGCCGCGTGTGTACACCCTCGACTACCGTTACCGCCGCTACCGTAAGCAATACCGTAAGCCTCAGGCGATCCTAAGAGAGAAAGAGAGAAGCGGCGAGCAATCAACGTCGATTCTACGGGGCTTAACGCGTCCGCGTAATGACAATTAACGAAATCGAAACAAACGCCGGGCCATAAAAGAAGCCCGCGCCACGGCGATACGTCCTCCTCCTCCTCCTGCTTCTCCTCCTCGTCGGTGACGTTCATAAATCTTTCGGCCAGTTTACTCCGGCTTTGCTCGCCTCCCGCTCGCGATTAACCCCTCTCTCCTTCGTCCCCCCCCNCCCCCCCGAGCCATTAGAGCAGACGGCGATGTTTCTTTCACGAGACGCATGCCCCGCCAGACCCGCCTTGCGCCGTACGTGCGCAAACCGAGAAAGGACACAGCGTGTGCAACGCCGATTGGCAGGCTGGCACAACCGATCGATCGGCGCGAATAATTGAGAGAACGCGCGAAATCCATGCCCGAAGAGAGCCGGTGATCTCGCGTGGATCCCCCGAATGACGCGATAACACCCGGCGATAAACTGTTGGCGCAGCGAACGACGCGGGTGCGATCGCCGACGTCCGCCGCCGTGAAAGCGGACGGAAATATTGACGAGGGCCGCGAAAACGAGAGCGTCTTCGACCGGCGAGTTCGATGCCTCTCTTGTCTTCCCGCCGGACCTCGTCTCGCCCACGGCGGTGACATGGCGTGGATATTTAGAGAAGAGAGAAAGAGGTTTCTTTAGATTATGCCATAATACCACCTTTTCCTCTGTATATTAAATATAAAAAATATTGCTCTGCTGAAACAAAGGAGTTCACTCGTATTTTTCCAACGTGGCGTTACTTTCAAATAATTTATCGCTCATGACAACCATTGTGACGTTTCGGTAAAAATAGAAAAGGACCGTGTCATCTGGAGTAAAGATATTTATTGTTTGAGAAATGAAACAATCCTGCTTGTCGAATGAAACATTCGTTCGTCTGCTTTATTCCAATAGACGGATTTATTTCAATTAAAGAAATTTTGTCAAGGAAATCCTTTTCTCTGCGCGGTGTGGACGATGTCCGGATTTATATATTCGACCGGCGGTACGGAAAAGGGCGGGCGCAGGAGGGTTGATAAAGCGTAAATATGGAAATATCAACACCACGAATTTACATAAAAATTTGTACGCGCGTTCCACGGCGCGTTAATAATTCCAGATAATCGTCTGTCATCGAAGTTTAACATCGCGGTCTCCGAGATCAGAAAGAACGATTATGTCCGCGAAAATCCGAGGAAATAATGCGCTGCGTCGCGCGAAGAATCACAACACACGGCGGCGCGCCATGAAACTCGTATTTACTCATGCATCCACAGTCGCGATTTTCAACGCTAGCGCGTGAGAAATAACAAACGAGAAATAATAACAATAATAATGAGTGCAACAAACGCGCACGGGACGACGCTAAATTCGTATGTAGCACTGCGATAATTTTGTACGTAGCGAACGTCTATAAAGTGGAGCATTGATCGGCTATCGACTGATATACGCCTCAAGCAGGCCTCTTTTAGCTACCTCGGATGCAATATGTCGGATAAAATATTTGCAATGAGTTTTTGATCGTGGCGGCATCGGTGCTCGATACAAGTTCATTTCGCCATCAACTCATCCGATATTAATGTATTCCGCCGTTCTTCAACGGGCCCGGGAATATTTAGATAGCGAGTAGCTCAAAGCCCGGATGCAAATCGATACACTGGATTGAGCAAACATTGATAGTTATTTTTAACGACGATTCGCAATGAAACTTGTCCATGCGGAGGCTCGTCCACAGAGAAGGAGAGAGAGAGAGGCAAAAGGGCATGTGAGATATAAACATACAGGACGAACTCTTGCCGATATTAATTATTGGTGGTATATGAAAAATATTGTTCGTAGTGCGTGCGCCCGACGAAAGCGGAAATCCGTCGGAATCGATCAGATACCTTTACGAAATAATAATGTGTGAGTATACGTGTGTGTCTGTGTGGGCGCGCGCGTGCTGTCAAAAGAAACATTCTGATAACACCTGCGGCATAAAACGCAGACGTGGATATTCATTTGGACGTTAAGAAACAGGAACACGTGAAATACACTAATGCGGAGATGCTTTTCACATAAGATGCAACATGTGAATAGCGAGCGATACGCAAATGTGAAAAGTCATAGATACCGATCCGCATTACCGATGCGAGAGACTGTTCGTCCGGTTGCACGTTTTACCACGTCGCGAAAGTAACGAGTATATAAACGGAGAAAAAATCCGAGGCGCGGATATTGAAGCGAGAGAATCCTTGTCGCTGCAATCGTTTCAACGTAATAAAAAACCGATAACATGTAATTAAGTGTATTTCAGTAGACTCTTTGACATATTCTTCTCACGTACCGCGAGCAGAATTTTATTTAATTTCATTTTATTTCTAATATCTCTTTTTCTACTCTACTCGTAATATCCACGACCTTTTGAAGTTTGCAAAATTAAAAAAATCGTGAAATATTGATTATCCCGAATTATTTCACACAGGTGCAATTTCATTTCGAACCTTCGCTGCGAGGTTACAGGCTATTTATGGATGATCATGAATACGAATTCTGCACGGAAAAAAATAATTTTGTAGCAAAGCTGTCATAACTACGCAGAAAAAAGTGTTAGATTCAAGTAAACAATTATTCCAAATAATTTGCCGTTAAAACAATATGGTATTTTCCTAGATTTACTAATTTGTTCTTACAGCAAAATAATTTATAAATTCAGCAAAATAATCCAGCGACTGACAGTTAGTATTTTTAACATATCGTTTCGCTGTCCATACATTGAGAAAAATACTGAAAAATTTATTTGTAGGTTATAAGGTTTATTTTCACAGAAATAAATCTCTTATTTAAATATGGCAGAATTTTATTCCCGACAGATGAACCATATATTTTATTTTTTAAATAAGTATTATCAACTACAAATAATTGTTCATTTCCTCGACATAAGTTATTTAGTAGCAAATATCAAACTTCTTTTAGTTTTTATGAATCGAGATATTTCTAACGAATAAATTTGATTTAGCAAAATAACTTTAATTACTTCTGATAATTTAATTCTATTCGAATCGGCAATGCTATTATACCATTGAAAAATAAATATTGATTTGAATATATTTTATTACCACATTTATATTTACTTGTTTAGTGATGCTCATGTAATTTTTATAACAAGTAACAGTAATAATAATTTATAACAAATAATATTAACTATTTATATAAGAAGAACTATATTAACTGTATAAGAAGAAGAATTATACAAAATTTTTTTTACAATTAATAAGAAAAATTAGATATATTTCACAGAAATGTACATCGCATCAACACAGCCAAATTCTTTTATAATCAAT